TTGGATATAGTACAGTCGACTCTAGAACAAGAAGAGCTGGTGTGCTAGGATATTTCAGTAATGCAGGTGATGGAGAGCAGAGATCTGAGTAGGGATAGACGTTGTCCCTTATGAATACATGTGTGATTGATCTAATGGGTGGGTTCAGAGCACATCCTTTGATTGCACTGTGAGACACAAACAGTTGGTGGGGCTCATCATTTGGGTGACACAGATGAGTCTGTGTCAGGCAGACACAGGCAGGCTACCTGGGTTGCCTGACCATGGCATCTGCTGATGCTCACAGAATTGGAGATGCCGAGGTTAATTGTGCAAATGCTTCTTCCGCTGATACTTTGCACTGGCATGAATAGTCATGAGGCATCCCTGCTTGGGAACCCATCTGTCATCTACACGCAGAGGTTGTGAACACTAGCGAAAAATGAGTTTGAGTAATGAGTATTGATGAAACAAGTCTGAGGCATCTACTTGGGTTCACATTGCTGTTTGTTTTCCCTGCTCATTGCTATACTGCACTCTGGGAAACCTGCTGAGCGAGAGTAAAGTACTTCAGCAAAACTGTGATAAAACTATGCTAGAAAAACTGAAATGAAGTCTGTCAGTGTGAGCTGTGCCAGCTGGTGGTGAGTTCAGATGAGACCCTGGAGCTGATGACATACACTAACTTAATGTGGCTCTGGCCCCACTGAAAGAGGGCTCTTTTGGCTCAAGTTAGAGGGCATAGTCCTCCCTCTAGGGTCAGATCCCATTCAGCACCTAAACCTGTCTTTTCATGACAAAAGCTTCAGTAGGTGAAAGAGTCTATGTTTGAGGTGGAGTGGGATGGAGGGAGCTTTCCTGGTAGGCAGGGTATGCCTGTTTCCAAGGCCTCTTTTGCTGTGAATCTCTGTCACAGCCATTCCTGATGGGTGCTACAGGGAAAATTGCAGTGGTCTCCCATAGCATCCAGAAGGTGACTGCTTTGCTGATTCCTGTCATCAGGGTAAATCTATGGCCTGTACTGATGCCCTGGTGAAGGAATGGGATCTTTCTGGCAAGGGCTTGTGGCAGGCAAATGGATGAAAGTTTTGTTCCAGCTTAGTGGCTGGTGATCAGTTCAAACACAGACACTATGTAACATTTCTCAATCAGGGACTTGTATTCTTCTTCTGCCAGCTCAGATGGTTCTCATATACTTGTATAAACTTGGAGCTGACTGTGGTGAGGGTGAAGGATACCCATCCCCGGGCATTTGCCTTGAAGTTAGATATTAGCCTGGTTTTAACAAATAACAATATTACATTTTGTTTGAGATTTGTTATTCAGTTTTCTGTCTGACTACCAGAAGCTTTGCTTGGTGATTTTTTTTTATTTTTTTTTTTTTCCTGCTTGTTGTCTTTGGGGGAGAAAAAAAAAATTAAAGAGAAAAAAAAGAGAACAAGAATTTTGTTAAAATGCCTGGATGAAACACACTTTTTATGGAAAGGGCATTTATAAACACTTTTGTATTGAATTTTTATAAGAGACAGCAAAATTATTTTTCTCCTCTGAAATCAGATTGTGCTACTTGAAACTAGGGAAAGGAGAAAACACAATCAGGAAATGCAAGAAGGGAATTGTTGGGGGAAAAAACAGGTTGGAGGTGATTTGCAGGGAAAAGCAATGAAGATTTTAGAAAGAAGACACTTTGGGCTGTCACATTGCTTTGGAGTGGGAGCCTGCCAGAGCCACCCTCAAAATTTACTGTGGACAATGAGAACTGTGAAGGCATGGGTGGGTCTGGACTTTGTGGTTGTGTGTGAAGTACCTGGAGAAACTGTTCAGCCTGTCCTCTGCCTGGAAGGAGGTGTTCTCCTTCCTGGTGCCATCTGCCATACCTTCCAGGTGTCATGGCACCTCTGTGCTCAGCATGTGGACTGTTTCCCCGGGGGAGAAATGTGCTGAAAAGACAACTTGCCAGGCTGCTTTTCTCATTTAGGTGCTGAATTTGTTTGTTAAACACAGTTGTCCTTCCCCTTTGCCCCAACAGACAGATGCAGTCTGGTTGTATATGCTGGGAGGTGGTGAGGCTAAACAATTGGGGTGGTTGGTGCAGGTTACTAGCCAGTGTAGAAGCAAACTCTCATATTGGCTCCATCAAGCTCAGTAAGAGCTGCTCTGTTCTTACTATCCAGATAATGCATCTTCTTAAAGAAAAGCTGGCACGCTGTTGTGCTGAGTAAGGGTTTGCACCTGGCTGTACACTGCAGAGCTCTCTGCCAAGAGGAATACTGGCTTCCAAGTTTGTTAGCCTGCTGTTTGGAGATTTAAAATATTTTTGTTAGTTTCTGTTTTCTCTTTTTGGAAATCCTCCCTCATTAAATTAAAAAGGGGGCCTTGGTAAAAAAAAATCAGAAGGGATACTTTGAAATGCTTCATTTAACAGCAGTCTCTGAACTTGTGACCCTTTAAAATAAAGTACTTGGACTTTCCTGTGGGATGGCTCCCTTGGGGTGGAAGCAAGTGTCTTTTAGGCTTGCATGCCTTTAGGAAGGGGCCTTTAGGAAGGGGCACAGGAGAAGTTGCAGTGCAGCATTCTCATCCAGGACTTCCAGAGAGGAAAGTTGTTCAGCTGGTTCAGGGCTGTGATAAATCATGGTTCCCCTGGAGCACACTGGGACTGCAGAGAGCTGGAAATAAATGCTAGGGAAATTCAGCTTTTGTAGAGGACCATCTTTCAGGATGATGTATGGCTTTGTAACAGACAGAGATTCCTTTGCTAGGGCTGGGAGAAAACTGCTGCATTCCATTGGGAAGGAAAACCTAACAGTTCTGTTGATATAAATCCATGCTGCAGGCTTGTTGCTCTGAGAGCTGTGCTTTGGCATGAGCTACCTTAGCCTGAGAAACAACTGTGTGGTACTAATGGAAAAAAGCCACTGAGAGCCCAAGGTGGTGGCAATTAGTTTGGGGCTGAAATAGGACAGTAGGTTTGGCAGGAGAGTAGGAAATGGATATCAGTTGGCCAATGTAATAGTGACTTACCAAATGTGTCTGGGGAGGGAATCAGATGGCATGGGATGCCGTTTGCATCTCTGCCCCTTGACTGCTACATTGTCTTGAGCAAATAATTTCTCTGGATGGATGAAATGGTTTTTCTTCAAATTGCAGTCACAGGAGCCTATGTCTCTGCTTTCTTCTACTGGCCATTCCCAATCAGATTGGGATGTCTGGCCATTCTGGTAGGCTTGTTTGATCATGAGGGTCTGACAGTATTTTAGGTTCTTCTCTGTTCATTGTTAAGGCTTGGATTGCCAATAAGTTGGGGAGAGCCAGAGTTCTGTGTTTGTGTAGCAAACAGAGGATCTGTCCTAGTTGTAATTGACGTCAGTCTTGACATCTAGTGCAGTCAGGTTTGTCTGCACTATTGTAACTTCTGGAGCTGTTGCTGTGGTTCTGTAATTTGGGGTTTGTTAGCACTGTTAAGAAGACTTGGCCAGAAGGACAGAGCCAGCCTCAAGCTGGCTCCCATTGTTCTGCTGTGGCCAGGTAACCAGGGGGAGATGGCTTTGTTCCAGGGAAAGGGGGAAGCATCTGAGTCCTCCTCTGCTCATTCCAGGGCTTTGCTGCTCATAGCAGCTCTTGGCTTGGGGCAGTCTGTGGCAGCTGGGATGTGCCCAGTAGCAAGCAAAAACTTCTTGCTGTTCCCATGTCCCAGAACAGCGACACTGGCAAATGCTAGTGAACTGACTGAAGTGCTGAGATGCAGAATAGAGGAGGCAAGCATTGCATCAGAACCAGTGCCATGTTGTATCAGAAAAAACTCTTGAGTTAACCTTTCATAATTCAGTTGCCACAGATCTGATTACATGTTTCTGATATTCAGGCAAAGATCAATATTTCATTTGGTCTTGGCAGTAAAAATTAGGTGATCAGTAAAAACCCACTGGTTTCTCAGGCCATACTTTGATCTGTGATGTTGCTGGTGTAGCAATGGGATGTTTTTCTCCCCACGTAGTGTAAATGTTGAGTTAACAAGAAAAAATTGTTCCATCACTGCAGACACAGACTCACATTGCTTCTTGTGTTACTGAGTTATCTTGAACTGTACAACTGTTTAATTTGCCTTTAAAAAAAAAAAAAATCATCAACCTACGCAGGCTTCTTGCATGAATTTTAACAGCTCTGTTTGTAACCTGTTTGTTATCTCTGAAAGATCTGTTCTGCTTGGTCAACTACTTCATCGCCTGTGTTTATTTTGTTCAAATTCCCAAAATAGTAACTATACAGTGCAGTGTCAACTCGGTCAAGATACTCCTGGGGTATAATTTTTTCCACTGAAATGATTTCCAGTCTGTTTCTCTGAGCTCTGAATGTCGAGTTATCAGTTTGTTTGCCTTGGTTGCATGGCTTCTGGCTGAAACTCAAGGATTTTTACAAAATTAAAAACTCTGCAAACTTAAATCTGGGTAACTGATCGACAAGGGAACAAATAACTGGCATTTCTCCACCAGAGTGGAAATGGTAGGCTGGCTGTCAGCTTGGATTTTGAGCCATGTGTCTGAGTGCTAACCGTGTGTGTGAGGTCCTGCAGGCTGACAACTGTAGCCTCTAGATATATGCTGCTGAGCTTGAGTCCTTCATCACTGTCCTCCAGTCTTAAGCAAATTGTTGGCCTGGGGAAGGTGCGGATGCAACATCTTGGGATCTGAGCTGCAATGTAGCTAACTCCTTCACACTAGCTAGGGAAATGCCAGTGACTGCCCTCCATGTAGGGTTTAATGAAGAGTGAACCCCACCACCTTAGTGCTTGGTTGAGTCAGGCCTGTAACAATGAGCAACATGAGGAATCCCAGCTAATTAAATGATTTTGCCAGTCCCCCACCGATGTCCATTTCATCTGTACCTTTAAAACTACTGCTGTATGTTACCTTTTTTGGGTCCATGGAGTAATAGCCTTTTAGGTGTGATACAGGCCACATAGGAACTGTACTTTCTTTCCAAAATAAAAACTGAACTAATTGCAGTTTGTTTCTCTTCAGCTGCCTTTTGGGGAGATATCGCTTTAGATGAAGATGATCTGAAGCTGTTTCAAATAGACAGAACTGTTGACTTAACAAAGCACTCAGATGGAAACGCAAGACACACTTCAGGTAAGGGCAGCCCTGGGATGGTGATGCCTTTTCCCTGGTTTTATTCTTGGGGAGTAAGGAGTTCCCTCTCACTCATGATGCTGGTTCCCACAGGCAGGGAGGTGCATGCAGAACTTAGTTATGCAACTGAGGGTGGGATCCAACTCTGAACTTAGTTAAACAAAAACTGAATCCCAGTTTGGTGCAGCTAATCCTATCTTGCTAAGGGAGAAGATTTTCAAATTTACAGCACTGGGTCTCTTTCTACAAGGAACTGCCTTTCTACAGATTTTGAATGAAATATGCTTGAAGGGACAAGCATAGGGACACTCAGTTTGGCATTAGTTTTGACTCTTACTGTCCTTCCCTTGTTTTGTGCAATGTATGATGTTAATGGAATAATGCATTTTTTTCAACTGTCTACCTAGGTAAAACCCACTGCAGTCTTACATACAGGCTAGCCGTGAAGTGATGTTATAACTGAAATAGGTTAACAATTGTGTAGATTTTCTGTAAAACCAATAGATGGGGTAGCATATGCTTATGTTGCACAGCTCTTACATATGCTCAGTCTTGTGCCAGACCAGAGTTGTTTCTTGACTCAGGAGCTCTGAGTTTATTCCAGCTCTAACAGTCTCTGAAACACTGCATCTGGTTTGGGGGGTTTGGAGGGCTCCCTGCAGTATTGTTGCCTCTACTCCACTTTATGCTGCAAGAGAGAAATTGTTGGAAGTCTGAGCTCTGAGAGATACCAGAGGGACTGGAGATAGAGCAGCTCAGGACAAGCTTCTATTTTCTCTCTGCTGTTACACTCTTAGGTTACCAAGTAAGGTCAGAGGTTGGGTAGGGACAGAAATCACTGAAATCATGTTCACCTGACCCCTGTGTGTCTCAGCTCATGTTGTATCATTTGTAAGGACTGATGGCTGGTTCTGTATCTTTGTGACTGCCTAGCTTTGGTTTCAGAGCATCTAAGCACTGTGTAGGTCCTGTTCTGGGTATCAGTGCCCGGCTCCCTGTTGAGATGAGTGTGAAAATGACACATCCAACATGGAGGCATGCTTTTGATGATGTAACTTGTTAAACTCATGCAGATGCTGACATTCTGGGCAGAGGAGGGCTGTCCACTTCTTCAAATTATGGATTGCTCCCTGGAAATGCAATTATCCTGTGTTGTTATGTAATTTAGCCCATTCATATCATATTTTGGGCTGTGGCATGTTCTCAAGTGAGAGGTGATTAGGAGTAGGATCAGAAAATGAGGACTAAGTATAGGCGCTGTTCATCTCTTTCACGTGACTTTGTCAGTTCTTGAACTTACATGAGGAGACTGCAGAAGCAAAGCCAGACAGCGTTTGACTTTTTTATTTGTAATAGCTAGCATTTCTTTTGCTCGGCACTGGTGACAGACCTGTTCCATCTGGAAAATTAACTAAATTTTATAACCCGCATCTGTATCATGTAATGCAGGCACTGGTCTCTTACAATGATGGCTCATGTTGTGTGGTTGGAGTAGTCTCTTCCTGGCACCTTTTACCGGCTGAGACAAAGCTGGTGCATCATATGATGCTTTGCTATAGGTGAATGTGATGTTAAGTCATTAGCTTGGCCGTGTCCTCATCTCTGGCAGGCTTCATTCCTCTCCCTGGCTTTCAGCCCCTGGAAGTGGAAGCTGACAGATGGGCAGCCTCCGTGACTGACATGCTTTCTGTGGAGTGTGCACAGGGAGATCTCTGTGTTCACCTGCCCTGGGAGGAGAGTCTCTGCAGGGATGGGAAGGGTTGATTCTTCTCTTGCGGGGCTTGCTTGACAGTCATGTGAATTGTAAGAGGGTGGTCTACATTGGCATGGTGCAGATTGGGACCCATTCTTCCCTGGGAGAACGTCCAGCTCTCTGCTTTTTTATTTCCAGTGGGAAGAATGCAACTTCTCTACAGAAACAGCCTAAGACCTTTTATGAATGGGACCCCTTGAATTATAACATTTCGGAGTTTCCTAAAGCTGTTAATCGGATTAGCTGTATAGTGGAGGAAGTACTTAATATGTATATACAGACACACAGGCTCTTCGTATCTGGGAGCTGCAGTTCTGAACACGCTATTAGGCCAGGCATTCTTCTTCCCCTGTGTTGTTTCCTTGTCCCCAGAAAACACTGTTTGGCTGGGAGGAGGGGTGAAAATCATGCCATTTGACACTGTTGGGCTGTTCATAGGTGTATGCTCTGTTAGCTTGTGTGGAGCATCTGCAGCTGTCAGGCTCTGGAGGAAGAATGAGGTTCCTTCCCATGTACTTATGAGTGATGGGGAACATGGTTCTTCACTGGCTCCAACTGGAGATCATCTGCTTTAGTAAAAGGTCTGCCTTGGCTGGTGAGGGCTGAGACTGTCAGTTGTTTCAGGCTTTACCCTCCTTCACCTTCTTTCAGTCTTTGTGTAGAAAGATAGCTATGCCCTTCTCTAGGCCCTTGAGAGAGACAGGGAGTCTGATCTGAGGACTGTCTGGATTCTGCCACAGATCTCTGTGCTGAGTTTAATTTCATAGCATGGATGTGCTCCAGGTTTGTTTTGTTCATTTATTTCCTGCTTGCCAAAATGCCATAATTGCTATTCAGACCCTCAAAATTAGAATGATTTGGGTTGGAAGTGACCTTAAAGATCATCTAGCTCCAACCCCCCTGCCATGGGCAGGGACACCTTCCACTAGACCAGGTTGCTCAAAGCCCCAACCAGCCTCGCCTTGAACACTGCCAGGGAGGGAGTATCTATAACCTCTCTGGGCAGCCTGATAAAGAGTCCCTCCCCATCTTTCCTGTAGCCCCCCTTAAGTACTGGAAGGCCACTATAAGGTCTCCCTGGACCTTTCTCTTCTCCAGGCTGAACAACCCCAACTCTCCCAGCCTGTCCTCATAAGGGAGGTGCTCCAGCCCCCTGATCACCTTTGTGGCCCAACTCCAGATTTGCTCCAACAGGTCCATGTCCTTCTTATGTTGAGGGCCCCAGAGCTGGACACAGCACTGCAGGTGGGGTCTCACAAGAGCAGAGTGGAGGGGGAGAATCCTCTCCCTTGATCTGCTGACCACACTTCTCTTGATGCAGCCAAGGATACAGTTGGCTTTCTGGGCTGTGAGTGCACATTGCTGGCTTGTAGTCAGTTTTCCGTCCACTAATACCCCCAAGGCCTCTGCGGGGCTGCTCTCAATCTACTCATTGCCCAGCCTGTATTTGTGCTTGGGATTGCCCTGACCTATGTGCAAGACCTTGCACTTGGCCTTGTTGAACTCCATGATGTTTGCACGGGCCCACCTCTCCAGCCTGTCCAGGTCCTTCTGGATGGCACATCCCTTCCCTCCAGTGTGTTGACTGCACCACACAGCTTGGTGTCGTCAGGAAATTTGCTGAGGGTGCACTCAATCCCACTGTCTCTGTCACCAATAATGATGTTAAACAGTGCTGATCCCAGATCTGATCCCTGAGGAATACCACTCGTCACTGCTTTCCACTTGGACATCAAGCTGTTGACCACAACTCTTTGAGTGTGACCACCCAACCACTGAGTGGACCATCTGTCAAATCCATGTCTCTTCAATGTAGAGATAAGGATGTTGTGCAGAACAGTGTCAAATGCTTTGCACAAGTCCAGGTAGATGACGTCAGTTGCCCTTCCCTTATCCCCCAATGCTGTAACCCTGCCACAGAAGACCACCGAATTTGTCAGGCCAAATTTGCCCTTAGTGAAGCTGTGTTGGCTGTCACCAATCACCTCCTTATTTTCCACGTGCCCTAGCATCATTTCCAGGAAGATCCATTCTGTGATTTTGTCAGGCACAGAGTTGAGACTGAATGGCCTGTAGCTCCCCAGGTCGTCTTTTTTTTGCCTTTTTAAAAATGGGGTTTATGTTTCCCTTTTTCCAGTCAGCAGGAAATTTGCTGGACTGCCACTTCTCAAATATTAGTGGCTTAGCCACTTCAGCTGCCAGTTTCCTCAGGACCCGCGAATGCAAATTTATGAGCCTGCTTGAGAGTGGGATGCCTTGAAGTTCAGTGTTTCCAAGCATTTTTTTAGCAAATATTGGAGCTGGTGGCTAAACAGCTGGAGTATTTATATATGCTTTTTGTATTATAAGAGGTTCTGCAGGCCAAACAAGGCCCTCCACATCATCTATTCATTCTGCTATTACCATCTGTAATGCCATATAAAAATCTGCCAAATAGGAAGTTTCCTCTTCCCCCTTAAAAATGTTTTGCAGCTAGAAGAGGGGACAAATGGTAAGGGATGTTATTAAAATGAAACTGTTACTCTGCATTTAAAACGTTTAAATTAGCTACCTCTCTGTCTATTTCTATGGGATCAAGTTTAGATGTCATGTTTACTATGAAAATCAGTTGTTCCCATGCAGGGGTGTTGAGGTGGATACCCTTAGGATTTGGCCCCATAGAGATACAGTAATGGTTCAAAACATAATGAAATTAATCGGGTACCTGGAGATCCGCCAATGAGTGCTATCCTTAGCAAGCCCATGCTTCACCAACTCTAATCACTTTTGAAACATTTTTCAAAGTGAAACATTTTTAGTTTTGAAAAGTTTCTCATAGATTTTTTTTTAACTTTAGTGAAAATATTTGACTTCATAATATAATTTTAGTTTAGAAGAAAATTGAGACAAAGCTTTGAGGATTCCTCTGCTGCTGAGAACCCCCAAATGGCTTTGAAATGGGAGACAAGAAGATCCACAGACAGGCTGTGAAACTAACTGCACAGTGTCACTTCTCTTTTGGACCCAAATGAGTCCACTGGTGCAAGGTGATTGTCTTTGCTTTATTGCTTTATCTGCTGAAGCATTAGCCACAGAGAAAGATGATGACCCTTTCTTTTCTTGCCATGCCTATGGGAAGAATGTGCTTATTTAATCTTAACAGGTTTAATTTTTTTCAGGCAGTTTAGGGATTAAGAGGATTTTTCTGATATATTACCTTTTTTCCTGATTTTTTTGTATCATGGAGGCAATTTCTAGTCCTGAAGTC